AATCAGACAGCAGGATTCTTGAGAAGACTTTTATTCATTATTATCAGACCACATACACATTAATATGACCATCCATGTTATTCTGTACGATGATGCCTTAGAAATAAATATGATAGTGTGTCACATTTTAGGTAGGCTAAGCTTAAAGAATTTATCATGGGGGCTGCGTGTAAAGTACTGTATACTGATCACACCATTGTTCACAGTACAGCTGTTTGAGGTGCACAAAATTTAAAGTAGTTACTATGAAACAAATTTGGAATGAATGAGGAACTAACTATTAGTTAATGGTCAGTTCATCAGTAACTCCTGATCAAATTTCAGTAGTTACTGAGGAACTAATGAGGAACTATTACTTAATCATTACCAACCCTTTTTGTGTACCCTAAAGTAAAGTGAGACGGTAATGATAATGGTAATGATTACTGAATCATTACCTACTCATTAGTTACTCTTTTTGTGTACCCTAAAGTAAAGTGAGACATCAAAATGAGTAGGTAATGATTACTGAATCATTACCTACTCATTAGTTACCCTTTTTGTGTAACCTACCCTAAAGTAAAGTGAGACATCAAAATGAGTAGGTAATGAGTACTGAATCATTACCTACTCATTTTGATGTCTCACTTTACTTTAGGGTACACAAAAAAGGTAGGTAATGATTAAGTAATAGTTAGTTCCTCATTAGTTCCTCAGTAACTACTCCTCTGAAATTTGATCAGGACTTACTGAAGAACTGGCCATTAACTAATAATTAGTTCATCATTCATTCCAAATTTTCGACCGATTGAGCATGTTGAGTCGGCAGCGAAGCTCGTCGGTGAGAGAGATCCCTCTGACTGGCTGTTCAGGTTTTATATCCTCTTCCCTGTAGCAAGTGAATCTGCCTGTAGTGAAACTGGGGCTAACCGGTGCTTCCTCCTCAGGCTCCACTTCACTCAGCTGCCCGACAGATCCGCTGCTTCTTCCCACTTTAACCTCAATAACAAACCGGAGCTAGCTGGGAGCGGCTAGCGGAGCGTTAGCCGCAGCATGACCGGAGGGAAGCAGCCAGTTAGCCTCCGCTAGCTTCCCAGCTAACGTTAGCCCCGGCTCTCCCTTTGGATCCAACCGGAGCACCGAGCCCTGGTTTGTTATTCAGGTTAAAGTGGGAAGAAGCAGTGGGTTTGTCGGGCAGCTGAGTGAAGTTGAGTGAAGTTGAGTGAAGTGGAGCCTGCGGAGGAAACACCGGGAGCGTCTGGATGTAATAGTCCGTGGAGGTGCTGCGGTGCTCGGCTGCACAGATAGGAAACTCCTCGGCTGACAGGATGTATCACTCTGTCACTCCGCGCTACTTTGTTGATCTCATGCATTCAACGGACTTCCGGTTTCCCTTTTTGCGTTATTTCCTTTCACGCAGACGCAGAACGTATGTGCTACTTGGCCGTCGGATGTAGTCGTCTTTTTTCCCCCACAACTTTATTTAAGACAGGAAGTTTACAGAATGCAGATCTTCAACATTACACATATATGTCATATATCACATATGCCAGGGGGGATAAGAGTTTACAAGAAAATATTAAAAATATAAAATGTTTTCTATGTGTAAACTTACATTTGTGAATGTGAAATCTTGCCAAAAGTAAGAAATCTTTCAATGGATTTCTGTTAAAGTCAAAAAGTCCAAACAGCACATCCCTCCAAAACAGCTTAAATTATTTTTTAATATTGTTCACAATAAAATTACAAATATCACTCCAGAGTCTTTTGACAATGGGGCAGTGCCAAAATAAATGAGTAACAGTTTCAAGCGTTGGGTGTAGTCTTTGTAGTGTGTTCAAATGCAACTGACATAGGGTGACGTGAGGCGACATAGACGATACAACAGTTGGCTTTCGTTGCCGCTAGTTCTTTGATGTCGGTTTGGTGTGTCAGCACCTTGTACAGAATAACATGGATGATCATATTAATGTGTATGTGGTCTGAAAATAATTAATTAAACTCTTCTCAAGAATCCTGCTGTCTGTGATTTTATTTGTTAAGGAACTAATTGTACAGATGATGATGAAGTAATGAAAGACTACTTATTATGTGTCACTTTACTTTAGGACATAAAAAGGTTAACTAATGGACGGGTTATTGAGTAATGATTCTGTACTGATGAAGTAACTAGTTCACTAATCATTAAGTCATGATTAACTCCTCTATGAAATTTGATCATGAGTTAATGAGGAACTGACTATTAACTAACAGTTAGTTCCTCATTAGTTCCTCAGTAACTACTCCTCTGAAATTTGATCAGGGGTTACTGAAGAACTGACCATTAACTAATAGTTAGTTCATCATTAGTTCCTCATTAGTTCCTCAGTAGCTACTCCTCTGAAATTTGATCATGAGTTAATGAAGAACTGACCATTAACTAATAGTTAGTTCCTAGATTGGATTCCTGGATTGTCATCATGAACGTCATCAAGAAAAAGAGAGATATGGTCTTATTTATTAGTAAATATAAATAGCTATGTATTTAGGAAATGGTTGACATAGTTCACTGGCATTTACCCGCAAATTACGTTTGCCAGTAAGCACATACTTGATGAGTTGACTTATTGTCTCTGATGCTATTACAAATTAGAAATCCCTTTCATTTTCATAACTTGTATAGCAAATTAGAAGCTCCATTAAGAAAAATACGATAGTCAATGCTGTCATACTCCTCCTATAGTGGGCTCAGCATGTGTTCAGATATACACATCCTGATTGGCCAGCTACACTTATGGGGAGGCAGCAGCTCATTTCAAAAGGACTTGGCTTAGTAACTGGAGGGTTGCTAGTTCAAGTTCCTGTGCGGACCAAGTATGGAGTGTGGACTGGTTGTTCATGCCCCTGGGCACTGCTGAAGTGCCCTTGAGCAAGGCACCAAACCCTACAACTGCTCAGGGCACCTGTCCATGGGCAGCCCCCTTGCTCTGACATCTCTCCATTTGACGCATGCATATAGGTCCTGTATGTGTATATAACATGTAAATGACAACAGAGAGGAAAAAATGCATTTCCACATGGGGTTTAATAAAGTAGGCTATGTCTTAATTTTCCTCTCCTTCTCATGCAAATTTCAGTGGGTGAATGTATGCAAATGCTCTAGTGAGAGAGAGGCCCCTGCTCTTTCAGCGACTCAGTCACATACCATGTGTGTCTGGAGTGTTTTAATACCTCTGCCTGATGTGATCTAGTGTATGGATTGTGGGAAACCAGTTTGTGGGAAACCAGTTTCCCCTTTGGGGATTAATAAAATGAATCCTATCCAATCCTGTGATTAGAGGAGGGTATTGCCTACAGAGTCCAGTAGAGGGCGCAACATGTGTTACATAGAACATTACTTTGGATAGATAGATAGATAGATAGATAGATAGATAGATAGATAGATAGATAGACATCTTATAAAACTAATGTTCCCTGACCCAGTCATTCTGTGTTCTTTGCCTGTTTGGCATAGGGAATAAAGGACTAATATATTTTGCGACTGGTTCTTGGGACCCTCAATCAACACCCAGATGAAAGCAGCTCAAACTCGGAGTGTGATGGATGTAAGGTATCAGCAGTTATATGTTTAGCCTTCTTACATATAGCACTGTCAGATATACTGAGTTGTTTCTGTGACTTGCTAATCACCTTCCCTGACAGTCTTAGAGAGGTTGTTTTTGCTCTTTGCACTCAAGTTGCTGTACCATGTTCTAATGTTAAATGATAAAATGCTTTCAATCAGGCCTTCGTATGTTCTTTCAAGTAAAAACATGCGCTGACTGACTCTCTTAAAAATGCTCTCTAAGTTTTCATTAAAAGTTTATGTCTGATCAATTACTGTGCCCAATTACTTAAATTGTTCCACTTTTTCTAAAGGATTGTTAATGAGTATGACAGTATGACAGGGAGTATATAACTGGTCCCATTAGGTTTTGTTTGTATTGTAAGTTCTTTTTTAGTTAAGGTGTATCACTCAGTGGTATCAAAGAGAGACAGACCTGTGTGCTGTAATGTTATCTCATTTAACAAATCCTATTTGTGTAATTGTGAAAGACAGATTTCATGTGCAAGACCAAACTAGACAGACATGGTTGAGTGGCAGTGTATTGCAGTGCTCCTTCATACAGGCGTCAGAGAGAGATAGAAGCAGACAGAGAGAGCAACAGACCCCAGGCCAGGCAGAGAGGGGAGAAAGGTAAGTATTTTAACTGTGAGCTGTAACATCACATCTTATACAGCCACAATTTCTCAACTTTCACTGTGTCCAAGGTAGTACTATGGAGTCATAGTAGTGTGTAGAATTGCAGACAATGTAATGAAAATTTAAAAAAAAACAAAAAAAAAACAAGGCTACCAGGGAACACCAGGTTAAACATAAATTTTATGAATATACAAGCTGGAGGCTTAAGTTCCTGTATTACAGTTATTTAAATTGAATATTGGACCCCAATTGGCATCAAAGCTGCGACATCACAAATGTTTAATGCTTGTAAGTACATGTGTTCAACTTAGATTTATGGTGACACTTCTGCAGATGAGTGTGAAAATAAACATTCATCATGGTGAAGCTCAAACAAATGTTTGCAAAGTGACATATTTTTAAGAGGAGAGGGACTTTAAGTTGAAACTGCCAAACACATCTGTGCATATTTTTACATCAAATTAAATAAGAGGTTGTTTGTATAGGTGTCATGAAGTAAATATATATTGTTCTCTCTGGCTAAATCTAAATTCATATGCTGCATGTAATCTACTTAATCTACCCCCCCCCCCCCCCCCCCCCCCACCCCCCCCCCCCCCCCACCACCACCACCAACCCCACCACCCCCACC